ATAAGGGACCTGTAAGGAGGTTCACATATGAGTACCCATTTAACGGCGGCTTTATTAGTCATCACACTTAATATACCTAAACGGATGAGCCATTTCTCTGCCACACGTAGTTATACGGCCTGCCGCAAAATGTACATGCGACCTAAATGATCCACGTACCACTTGCTTTGAATCCTCGGTCATTTTCTTCATATAAGTCTTGTTAAGTAGTAACATTATCTGACCTCCGCGATCAAAAAGCTCTTGGTCCCAAGTTGTTCCCAATCGGAACTTTTTAGATTACTCTAGACAATTTATGAGCCAGTCAAAGATGCAATATCTGAAACTATGATGACCTGTGGTCTAGAGATCTCTTCACGAGTTTTTACAAGTCATTGTCCTTTCGCTGTATTGATGTTCATACATATTCTTGAGTAAAATATGCCTCAGAAACCATGGCCGCAGCAAATTGGGTCAGCAATCCTCCTTCTTATTCTAACATCACCAATTCGTACTTTGCTTGAAGAATCCCAAATGTTTGGCATATGTAATTATGCGCTCCGGGCTTTCGGCTGCACCCAATCAGGAAGAAAATTTACGGACTGTTAGCTAGTACCTGGACTGTTAGTATGGTAAGTTACAAAAGAAGAATTTATGTTTGTCCATTCTTCACAGTTTAAAGCTAGTATATCCACCGGGAAGGGCTAGTGACAACTTGGGCGATTGATGCATACAATTCGCTCGCACTACCTTCACACACCAATGGAAACGTGAACATTCATCCAAACAACAACAACGCAAACCTAACGAATAAGGGACTTGTTAGGAAAGGTCCTGTCACTTTTTGTTGGCTTTCGGCTAAAAACCAACTGCGTGCGTGCGCAGACGTCAACGCAGATGCCAACAACAATGATCACGCAGACACATGTGAAGATAAAGTCAATGATGAGACTAAACCTACTGCGTAAAAGTACGCAGTGGATCTGGAAAGTATTCAGCCACCTAGAAAGGCTTATAAAATTCAAATAAATAAATCCTCCCTCCCACGATCCAACCAACCAACCTTACCTTCTTTTCCGTATTTATGCTCCATTTCAGTATTAGCTGAAGGTCAACTTTATGAAAGTATCGGAAGAACAAAAGTCGCGGCATGACCATAACAATTTAACTGGAGTGGAGCTCCGATATTAGTTTTTTGTTTGTTTTACCTTCTCTTAGTGCACTTACCTTATTTGATTGTTGTAGAATTTGGACGATAACACGGACGTGGCTGGCGTAGTTCTTGACTGCTACGACTCTCATGATGTTAGCGGCATCCTCCTGATTTGGATCAACAGGTCGATTGTTCGCCAGAATCAGACAGGCATCTGCGGTGCTCATACATACCCTCTGGAGGTCGACGTGGTTCATCACGGTTCCCTAGGATAAAAACGAAGATAGACCCCGGTACTGGTTAACACGTTAACTGCACTTTGCATCAAAGTGGCTTGCGTTAAACAGAAAGCGAAATATAAGTCAGAAAAAATAGTTTTTTTCAGCACCCTAGTGGTCATAGTCCCCTTCCGTCATGCATTTCCTAGACCGGCATTCAGATCGTTGTCTGTTGATTGTTTACATCTGCTTTTGGCCTTGCAAATTGAGTTATTGTGATTAAATTTTGATAAAATGCGCCTGTGTAGCGTAGATATAAGAGTTGAAGTTATCAAGAAGTGTGTTAGATACTTTGGAACAAATCTTGGCTTTTAGGTACCGTCAACAGCAATGTTTACACGAACAGAGCTCTTAAGCAATTGAACTACCAAGATACAAATGTAAGCAATCGCAGCTAATCACAAAACTAAGAGAGGCTTAAATTCCAGTTCTTACCCCGCACAACACTGGAATATGAAAAAATCCACTGTGGTGGCTACAGTACAGACGGGATGATGGTATCATTTGACGTGATCTCCTTGTTTATAGTTATTCCACCCAGTCTAGCCATCGACACGATTGACGGTCTTCTCCAAGAGAAATACGATGAAACCGACCAAAAGCTCAAGCAAGCGGATATCATCGAGCTCCTGGGACTGTGTCTAAGACATTCTTCATGTTCAATGGCCAAGTTTACGAACAAAAGAAGGGGACACCGATGGGCTCGCCT